TGGCGAAAATGTTATTGATATTTGTTACAGCCGGTTCTGCACTTCTCCCAATTATTTTGTTAATTCGCTACATCAATGCCACTCATAATAAAACTGAACCTAATTGACATGTCAACATCAACGACAACGACAACTCCTTCAACTATCAACTGTAATTTTCAAATAAATAAGTTTATGTAAGAGTTGAGCTTACTAGTGTGAAAATCGTTTTTTATTGATATAGCCGAAGAAACTTTTCACATTACTCATTTGTAATTAAAAATAATTAAGCCAGAAAACAAAAAAGAATAAGCAAATGATTAAAAAATGTCTTATATTATCGATATAGTTGTGAATAACTAATTGAGTTAATTGCCGAATAACTATTTAGTAAATATGAATAATAGAAAAATAAGAGTTATAAAATAATAGAAGAAAGCTTTTTATGTATACGACGTATATCGACGAAATACAAAATTTCATCGTTCTGCCTTGGGTATGCGGATTTGACTTGATATTTAGCCTTTATTGCCCAGACATATCTTTCGCTTATTCATTGTAAGGAGTGGGAATTGTGAAGCATGGATGGGAATTAGTCGAATTTCTTTTCTGGAAGATTGTGATAATGATAATTCCATGCCACTTGTATACTTCCATATTTCTACGAGAAACTGGCATGTGAATTGATAAGTTAGTTATTTCAGCAATAACTCTTTAAGACATAATTTCATACCAGTTATAAGCTCATTATTTATTTACATACAAATGCAATCATTTGTCAAGAAAGCACGTCCATCCCTTTTCTGCAATAACCTGCAGTTGTTTGCCATTTTTCACCGATTGCATTATTAGTATGTAAAAGTTCATGCACTTATTCATTACTCACTGAGAAATGGCAATTTATGAATTCATATTTGATTGGCGCCTCATTCTAATATCTCCACAATGTATTTATTTTACTTTTAGCTCTGGGGCAACTTTTGTTGTCTTTTAAAAAAAGTTGTCTTTTACTTCTCCCGTATTTTCCGATAACAAAGTGAAATATTTTTCTACATTTACTCATTTCAAATTTCGAATTTCAATATGATGAAATCATCATACTAGGCTATGAATATTGAAGGACAGTAACTCCGTAATTGTAATTTTTCGACTCTCTTAACTATAAAATTTCCGTCATAATTTATCAAAATTTTTCGAAGACAAAAAAAGTTTGGAAGAAATTGCTGGAAAACATTCTATGTTCCATATTACGAATATTATGGCATAAAATAAAACAGGAAATGATAAGTTTAATTTGGAAGTAAAAAATTAACTTGGAAATTTAAGCGCATATAATTGGCAAAAGCTTAATTATTAAGAATTCTATAGTTCCTTCCAAAATTTCCTGCATCAGAAATTGTCATTATTGGCGTACAAATTTTTTCAAATCTTTGCCTATTTGTTATTCTTCCAAAAATTTGATAAGCTACAACAATTTTAGATTTTTTTTCCATTGTACGAAACCATTATTTACATTATGATATTTGATTTTGGAGACTTAATTAGCTTTGATGTGTTGTATGATATGTAAAGTGGCTACCCTTCTTCTGTATCTTTTTTTTCTTTTGAAATTAGATAAAGTATGCTCTAAATTGCTAAAATTTACAACCCTTATAGTGCTCAAGAATATTTCAAACATTTTGAAATTTGATTCAGTCACATTGAAGATGATTTCTTAATCATCAACAAATACATTTAAATTTTACCAACTTCTCATGACTCTGTCGAAGTGAGAAAATGAATCAGTCCGTCGAATTTGGTTGTTTCGGCAATATCCGTTTTATTTAATTTTTACTTAAACTGAAGATTATAATAAGGATAAAGGAAACGTAAAACAGAGTTTAATATTTACTGATAATTTCCTTTGAGTTTACACTGTTATTTCTATCATAAGTCAAGGCAGAAGATGACCGATGTTGGGAAAAATGATCTTTCGTAGTATATTATTTTCAAAGAATATTTCAAAAACCTTTATAATTATGCTTTAAAATTCAGGAAAATTTGAGATTCCCGGGGAGAATCTTTTTCTTACATATTTGAAGCGCATAATTCATGAACGGGAATACGCTCGATTGTCTTATTTAAGAAGATTGCAAATCATTGGCTAACTTCTGATTCATTTTTATCATTGTCGTACCTGTCTTCTTCCTTTCTCTCCTCTTTAGTGGTAATAAATTTCGACTAAAATTATGCAGAAAGAGAGTACTCTTTAATTAAATTTCAAAACTGCTCAAACTACCCTCACATCACCGCTCTGTTTCCCTAAAATAGCTGTAGTTCATGTAAAAATTGATATACTATGTTGCTCTCAGTGCATGCATATATGTATGCGTGTATGTGTATATATGTGTATAGATGTGCATTGAAGACATCATTTGATGACTGCCGTTTCATGTTTCTACAAATGAATACTTCTCGTAATCAAAGAGATTGTTCTCTTTAACATAACAAGTTCAAATAGTCTGAGCAAAGAGATGCAAAATACAAAGCGATAAATGTTGATATGGAAGAGAAAGCTCGAAATGATAATAGAATGAGATGAAAAGCAAAGCACAATAACATAAGAATGGGTTATGGGTTATTTGCTGTCAATAATATATTAAAAGTTTTCATAAAATGGATCAAATTTCGAAAAACAAGAAATTGTTAGAATTATACTTTCCTAAACATTTTTCAACTTTCTAACAACTTTCAAAAAAGAATTCCTGCAAAAATTAAGATAGTCAAGGTATATTTTAGATTAAATGAAAGAGAGCAAATCAACTTTAAACAGTTCCTTTTTTTATCTCTTAACAGTTTTGTCTTCTTTTTTATCTAATCATATGTTGCAATCTAATTTATCGAAGCAACCTGTTATCATTCTCTTCGACATATAATTTCTATAATTCAATTTAGTCCATTCTTTTCTATTTCTAAGATTAATTCAAAAATGTTTCGTGAAAGTAAGTTGTTGTCTGTAATCTCTATATAGTCGTCGAGTATATGATATGATCATTTTAACAAATTTTGAATAAAAACTGGTAGCAGGCTTTCTCTTCAAACTTCTCATTTGAGAGATTCAAACTGCTCTCACATTTTTTAGAAATATATGGATATTTCTGATAAGATGATAGCCGGAAAGATTCGGAAATAATAATCACAGTTAAAAATAAGACTTATCCTAATTTGGAAATCAAATCGTTCAGCTTGAGTAGGATGTCATTCTGTTCGTTTATTTTTCAATTATTTATACAAGCATATTTTCAAATCTTCCTTTTGATATTACTTACTCATCGATTTTTAATATCACCTGTTAATCAATTTATTGTCGCTTTTGTGTTATTCACCTGAAATTTTGATTTAGCGGTTATATCAAGAATATTAACAGAGCAGAAGATGATTCGATAATGATCAGTTCTGAAATAAATGTAATGGATATGAACGCAGATCGAATGAAAATTCGCTTATCATATTGATGCTCAAACGATTTTACAAAATCAGTAATTACTTCTATTACTTCATTAGAACTTATGGATTTGTAAATCTCGGAAATTAAGCAACAATTAAGAAGGGTAAGGTTATATTTTTTTCCCAAACATAGTCGCTAGCTTTAATTTTGAAAATTTCAAATTTCAAAAAAAACTTGTTCAATGTATTGATTATTTTGCTGAAATCTCTCCTGCATGCATTTTTTTTTTTTTTGCTCATTTTTGAGATCCATTTCTTGGTTTCTTTACTGCTTTGAGTTTTTATTTCCGACTCACTCAATTTTTCCATTAATTTTGGCAAGTTAGATTTCAAAACGAGAATGCTTTCATTCATATCATTTCAATTTTTATTTTTGTTTTGAGGAAACTCCATTTGTTTCATGTGTCCACAAAAAGTTTCCCGACAAAGTTTTCCGAGTATTCAACCAAGTAGATTAATGAACTTCATGAAATGCAAACAGTTTGCAATATCTTCGAAATTTTTGAAGGAATTCGGATTCTTGCTTGAGTTCAAAATTTATTTGTAGCTTAGCAATAAAAAGCATTAGAAAATTTCAGGGATCGAAAATCAATCTGCATATTGTTTTTCCATTTAAAATTGATCATAAAATATCTGAATGCAAGATTCAAGGATGAGTTAATTCTTGAAAGTAGTGTCTTAAAGATAATAATAGGAAGTAATTGATACCCTCTTTGTTATTTTGAATGAATTTTATGCAGGAGACTCAACTTCCGAGCTTTAATGATTTAATATAGAGAAATTGCAGACCAGTTCATCTTGTTTCAGTAAAATACAAAATATCTTGAAACAAAACAGGTGAAACAGTCGGAGTCATACTGCACGTCTAAAAGCTGAGGAATGTACGGAAGAATTAATTTGCTTAAATTAATTGCTGTTCACAAAATTTTTGAAGTTTTGAATAATTTTTAAAGCAGGTTGATTTTTAATGAATGTGAAATTAATATCGTGACTCTTTATTAATAATATATCGTGACTCTTTATCTTTATTAAATTAATATCGTGACAACTTTCATTAAAACGAAAAACCATCAAATGCGGCGATGGTGGTGTTAAGCATGCTTAGGTTCATTTATGAATTTGAGAAGTCAACTAACTAACCTAACTAATTCAACCATCCATCATTTAGAGGAGCATGACTTTTACTAGCACTCTTACTAGCTTTTATTTTTCATATTGCTCAACTGTTTTCCGGTTCTAATTTAGAAAAACTTCCTTTGCCTATTCGATTACATTGTTATTTTTTACTTTGTGTAATAATTCTAAGATAGTTGTTAAAGTTTCTATTAACTGTCCTAACAAATTTCTTAATAAGTAACACTCAAAAGGGAAACAGCCAAAAGTAGGGCAACTAAGCGCACTTATCTCAATTAAATATCAAATTATCGAATGAATTTGAGAAAGTGAAATCAGATTTTTTGCTGGCTTAATCAAGTTTTGCAAATTATACTTTGTTTGCACTCGGTTTTATTGACTACAATGTACACATTTTTTTTTAATTAAAAACAAATTTATATTGCAGAAGTAATTCTTGAGCAGGCAATATTGACCAATGTGGCATATGTGCACAGCACTCCTTCGAACCTTGAGAATTTTGCTCGTTCTCCATCTTGTGCTCTGTGATTCTTCGTGTAGTTCGAAGAAGTATAGACGTTATCATCAAAAACGTTTTCATTTAACTCTTTCCGTTCGTAACCATAATGTTACTGAAGCCAAATTTTTTCGACTTATTGGAGTTGGAAATACCGCCGATTTCTATGTTGCACCTGGTGATGTCTTTACGAAGACTTATGAGGTAAACTTCCAAAAGATATCGATTTACTGAAGTTAGTCTAATTTGAATTTCATGGATGGTTTTGCACTTAGAGCATTATTCTAAAAAACGGATAGATATCCTTAGTGAATCATCGCATAGTTCTTTTCATCTTATCATTCTTTCAATGAAGTACTTTTGCAAACAAAAAGCAAAATAACCTGGACATTCTTCTCTTTCTTCTCCGTCTCAAATTAATCATTTGATTTCAGAAATAACGCTAAGGTTTAAAAGTTCACACTAAGTTATTCATCTGAAATTTCACTGATAATATTTCGAACATAAATTTACAGGCGAAACGGAAAGGCTTCTGGACATTATTTGTCGAGTTCCCAGGGAACCGTTATTCGAAATCCCCAAGGAAAATTATTTCCCGCGATTCTCATAAACATTGGGTTTGTAAGCTTACTTTCGAATTTCTGCTCTATACCCTTTTCTTTTTGATATTTTCGCGAAAACACTTTGACGAATGTTGTAATTATATTAAATTCTATAATTGAATTATGTTAGGTTAATCCCTGATTTCGTCATAAAAGAAAGGAATGCTTTGAAATTATGTCCTCCATTCATTTGTAATATTTGACGTCACGGAAGTACACTTTCGTAAAGCAGACGAGGAAAGGTTACTCGTCAGTTCGAAAATTGGAGAAAAGCAGTAGTAATAAAAAAAGAATAATTAACACAAAATGACACTATGCGTTAAAATACTGTGCGGAGGTTAGAGCCATCTGAGACGTGCGTTGAGACCATTTTCATTAGTTATTAATTATTATGGATTAAACAAGTAAATATTAAGATATATTTTTTAATATATTTGATATTTTAGATTATTGAAGTATATTATTATCCGGGAGCAGTTGGGTTCACCAATTGGCATAAAGTGTATGATGCAATGTTCAAGAACAACATCGTCTATTAAGGTATATTCTCATTCTATTAATGATAGAATGAAACACCTTCAAAAGGATCAACTTTTTTTGAAGACATTTAAGATATTTGGTTATATGTAAAATGAACAGTTGTAATGGTTAATGAGGTATATTTTCTAGCTAAAGGTGCTTGCTGACAATTCATTTGTTCATTTGGAATAAATAAAGGTTTCACATTTCAGTGAAATTAAAGAAATTTGTAGGACGATTTTACTTCGAAAACTGAAAATTAACGCAACAGTTCAATCCGTCTTAGGAAAAATGTAAACAAAACAACTTGTTATCAGCCATGAAATAATTATTTCTTGAATTTTATGAGAGAGTTTCGACAAATTCAGAAACAGAAGCAATTATCTATTCAAACATTCGCACCGTTCTTAAATTTTTATCAAACTATAGGTTCCTTTGAAATCCGGTGCTAATCTGATGCAGACATAAGGATAGAGTTCCACGCTCGAATCTGACCAAACGAACAGGAAGAACTGGAGACTCCAAATATCACACTGAATAATCGAAACATTCGGCATATATCGTCATGCAAAAGAGCAGTTATATGAATAATTCGTACATACCACTTTTGAAATAGTTTTGTGTCATATCATGGTGCTAATGCATAATGCATTCTGTGTTCGTTAGAACAAGTAGTAATGCTTAAGATCCTATCATTCAGGGATGCAATATTTTGGCGGGATCAGAATACGGCCAAGTTCCAAATTAGTATTGATCAAACCCAATATTTCCATTTCATTACGATTGTAAACCAATCCTGAAGTTTTATCTACTATATTTCTGATGAAACTACGACAGGCAGTTAACGCGGAGTATCAAAAATACGGTGCGAAATTCAAAAATTAAATATACAATAAGATAAACGATCCCGTCAAAAGACGAAACCATCGGATGGAAAATATGACTGTAGAATAATTTACTGGTTCTCTTCAATTAAAATTTAACAAAAAACATCAAAATCGGTTCCAAGAAAGGTAAGCCGGCAGAGATTATTACATTTCTAGTATGCATACACATTAGAAATTTTTTGCATCCATGCGGGCATGACAAACGCAGAGACGGTAGGTGTAATTTAGAAACTAAATGATCCAAAAATTTATAAACCTCAGTAAGACATTATTCATGCTACACGTAACCTCTGAGTTGAATCTTTTCTAGCTTTATCTTTTTAAATTACGGTAGTTACTACTAGCGAAATAGCCTTTTATTCACCTTATAAGTGCGTATGTGACACTTTTCAACCGCCAAATGGATGACTAGGAAAGGTTCTAAACCAAATAATGCGTCCTTAAAAGAAAAATGTGCCATTGATCTAAATATCAAATTCTATCTTGACACTAGGTGCAGTTATCCAGGAATGTCTGCAAACCAATTAACAAATATTAAAAATTAGTCCCTTCCCAAAGAAGCAATCTTCTCATTATACATCCTTACTCATCGGCGCATTATCATTAAAAATTGTTCTTGCCACTGGTTATAATTTGTATATTATTTTAACATCAACTTTTACAATAAAGTTTCGATATAATGCATTGAAACAGTGCATTTATTAGTAAACAAGGAAAGAAACTTACAAACCAATAAAACTTCCGCAGAATTCACATCATAAAATTGAAAGAAGCATGGGGAAATATCAAGCTCTAATGAAATAGAACACATTACTGGTAAAGTCGCTAGAGATTCTGCAAATACAAGAGCATTCAAAAATATTAAACTTGAAGAGTATCAATAAATACAAAGAATCTGAGAAATAATAAATCAGACTTGTAAAAAAATTCTGCAAAATCTCAGCTATTAATATTGTGCATATACAATAGAACTACATTTATCAAAAACTATATTTAAGATGCAATAAGATGCAGTAGGTCTTCCAGTGAGTTAGAAGCAAAGTTGTAAAAGTATTAAAAGAGTTATTGCACAGAGCCTGCAGTCATCATACAACATAACTTTTAAATACTTGAACAGGAGATATAAAGCAAAGGATAAGTGCGAGAAATATATTCAAAATTCTCCAATTTTCATTGTCTTTGAAGTGACTAAGCTGGAATTAGGCTACTCCCAAAATTATATATGAGCAATTTTTTGCAGTATCCGACCTGTTCAATTCTTCTTGACATAATAACCACTGCAAACTACAATGCAAGAGTCTACAAAGACTGAACGTATCCAATGTGTCATAGATAAGTCAACTTTGACAATTATTAATTTCCGAATCAATCTCTTACATCAAAACCGACAGCATGCAACGAATAATCATACAGCTCGGCACATTTTCTCGCCCAATCCACCATTTCAATGAATGATTTTGGTGCGCATTCACTAAAAAATAAGATATTTATCTTTTTTACTCAATCATAAGGATTAGGAGTTTGTTTCTGTATTTTCATTCCTAAAGAAGTGGATAAAATGTTTAAAAGAAGTGATTTTTTGAGCACTGAAATTTATATCAAAACAAGTTTGAAAATGTAAAATAAAGTTTAATATTTTGAGCAGAATTTATTGCCCCAACGATAACTGCCATCTGTGATAAAACTGATGGCGCATTAAATAATCAATAAAAATTAAATAATCAATACTATTATTCCACCGAAAAGGTTTTAATCCTCAAAGTACTGGAAAATATATAAACAAAAGTTCAGACTGAAAAACAAAGATTTTCAAATTGAAAAGTTTGAACAAAACTAATGTTTTTGATACCTGTAGTAGAGTCCTGAAGAACCGATTACAGTTTTCGATAAAGCCAAAAAAAGTGGGGTTTGGGCTCCATCTTTCGGAGTTTTCAGCAAATACCATCTGGAAAAATAAAAACAAGGAAATTAAAGTAGTGTCGAAATTTTATCGAAATAAAAAATAGAACACATTTCTTGTTAATGTCTGAACTGATTCTATCATACAGAAAGATCATTTCGTATACTAATTTAAGAGAAGTAAATGCACAAATTACATATTTTCGAAAGATTTAAACTGGATCGCAGCAGTATTTCTGTTTTTAGAGCTACATAAAAAATGGTGTGAAAAGAAAAAGCGAAAGATTGAAAGAGTATATGAAATAGGGGTAGCCAGAACTCAAACTCCTAAATTTTCTCATATGAAATACTTAAAATTTCTGATACTTTGAAATGTAGCAATAAACAAACAACCTGAATGGTGCAGTGAGATAGTTCAGCGGTTTTCGTGCTAGTGGTGTATAGCGCATAAGTCGTGTATTGCATAGTCCAGGATGGCAAACATTTATCGTTACGTGTGACCCTTCACATGCTCGTAATCGTCTAGTCAATTCAAACGCATGCATAACCTTGGAAAAATGAAATAAACTGCAACTTTTCCTGAAGAACAACTTATCAAATCATTCATTTACAACGAAAAATCATAAAAATACCATAGCAAGTTTCGACTTAGAATATGATTGTCGCGAATCCCAACCTTCTCTACGATCAATGAGTTGCAAATCAATAGGATCTGCATAGAAATGGGCTAATGCAGAAACATTGATAACACGTGCAGTAGGAGCAGCTCGAAGAAGAGGTAGCAGTAATTCAGTGAGTAAGAAATGTCCTGAAAAATTTTCTGCTCTATTACCAGTGTCATTTGAACAAACGGCTAAAACTATTAAAATTCGCTTATCAATGTAAATATATTTATGCATTTCTGAAATACTCCCTAGATCAAATAATAGTTGCAATAAAATTTCTCTCCATAATGCTTATGTGGATATAATCTAGAAATAGGCTTGATTGCAGAGAAAGTTGCTGAAGAATCTGCAATTCTGATGCCCATGACCACTTGGTAAATAAGAGAAAAAAAATCTTTGGGAGTAAAACATGGGAACTGTTCAAGCAACTGAAGTACAAGAAAGATTCAGAGTAGAATAGGAAGGCATCATACGTAATACCAGGGTTACACAACTTCTTAATCAAAACAAATTTCTTAGTTCAGTGCACAAAAATGAACAAAGAACAAATGGAACTTATTACGACGACATAAAAATAAGAAATTTTTCCTTTAAAAAAAGTATTTTCACCTACTTCTTTATAAATAAACCCGATTTATCGATTAAGCGAGCTTATTAAGAAGAGTTTGCAAAAACCCATTAGCAAAAATCCGTCTCTTTAATTTTTATGTGTATCTCAAATAATACGGTTTTTTAACTGAACTGAATATCAATATTTAAAGAAAGATCAGACGATTCTATTCAGAAAGTTTACATCATCAGTCAAAATTTTTCACAATTACAGAGAAACGAAGATTTCTAAACAGTGAAAAACCAAAGTAAATTAATTTTTTGATCTCTATATAATTGAAACAGTTTAAGAAAACCATTCTATGGTTGTTTAAATACTAACCGAGATAGTTCGTTTGCCAGACTAGTTCATGACCATCATCGGTCAACTTAAACTTTGGATACAACATAATACCAGCATTATTGATTAAAATATCCAAATGATCTTCTTCTACAATACCAATATAATTAATCCTATTAACCTTACAGAGTTCTCCTATTTGAATTGTTGAATTGAAGCAAAGAATGCATAGTCGAGTTTGGACAAGACAAATTTTAAACCCTAAATTCTAAATCATCAAATATAAGTCGATGGTGCAGTGGATAACACGATCAGCGATTTTTTGCGCACCAGATTTGGTAATAAATGGATTCATGAATGAAACTTATGGATCTGTCATTCAACTGCTGGCATAATGACTTTTTAATCTATCCAAATAAGTGAATGTGAAGATAATAGAAACCTTCTCTGATTTCTGCTGCCGCTACCTTGACTGATTTAAACCGAGCAAGGTCAACCACTTTGACTAATAGTCGGCGCGGATTACAACCTAGCTGAGAACAAAAATCAAAATAATTAAGCACTTTTTGAAAATCTGTTTAGAAATGGCTCAAACTTGATCATGAATTTCTCCAGCATATATATATCGTCAATTTAGAAGTCGACACTACTAAGCACTATGTAACATCTACTGGCTGCCGATAAAATCAACCATCTCCTTTGCAAAACTGATTTTAGATTTATTTGTCAATATGAAATAAACGGCTCAAATATTAAATTCTCCTAATCCATGCTTCCAGTCCATGTTACAGAAATCCCTAATTTATCCCATAATGTGTTCTTAATTTCAACCTTAACAAGCTGAATAACAGCATTCTGAGCTCGTTCCTCACTACGACACAACATGTACACCTTCGCTCCACGGAGATTTAGTTCTCGCACAATCTCTCTTCCTATACCACAATTACAGCCTGTTACAACCGCTACTAAGCCTTTCGCCGTATTGCGTTCTCTGAATTGAGCGCCTTTGAAATAAAACCTTAAACAATAGAAATTAAGCAACATAATATTATAAAGATTGGAAGATAATTATAAAAGCAAAGTCCGAACCAAAATATTTTGAAATTTAGATTGGATCAATCAGAATTGACAATAAAGATTTGCAAAAAAACAGTGCATGCACATACGTACAACCTCTCTCGAGAATGACTGATATTTTTGACATAAAGCATGCCGGTCAAGAAAAAATATTGCATAATTTTCTTGGAAATAATTACCTAAGTGCAGTCACTATAATAATAATGAAAATCCATTTGCAGTCAAATACATTCAACGACTCTACAAACGAAGCCTCCATCCAAGGAATACCCTTAAATTCCGATATTTGTAGAAAACCTGCAAAACACTGGAATCTACAACACGAACAAACGATAAGAAGTAAGTTCAAGAAGGAAAAAACGGACAAACTCCCATCCATCTTTGCAAATTCAAACGAGGGAATGAATAAGAGAACAGTGGAGGAACACTTTCTCAAGAAGTTTAGGAACTTCGTGAATCGAAGTAAAATAAAATAGGATGTATGCTGAATTTTTAAACTGTTTCGGTGAAAGCAAATAAATAGAAGCAGAAAATATTTATTTATGGTTAACAGAAATATTTCAAACAGGATTCATCCCTACTTTAATCCAACCAATTGTGAACATTCAAATAATAAGAGCAGGCCTTTTCCAGAAAAAATGTTGACAGACACTTTTATGAAAAGGAAGAAACCGAAAAAGTGATTTGCACAACAAACAATGGGTATTGACAGGTGGTCTAGAGATGCTGTTTTAGCATTTTCTCTAACAAATAAATCTTAGGTAAAAGCAGTAGGTAATTCAGCAGAATGTTGTAAACAACTAACTATTAAGGCCTATAATGACAAAAACCCTATTGATAAGAAATTTATGGTTAGTACTTACAGCCTGAAAACTTCAACAATTCAATAAAATTTCGAATAAAAAAAGGAAGTGAAAGCAACCTATACAAAATACTGAGTAATTCACCATTAGACTTCAAAGTCACAGTGATTGGGGAAAACAGAAATATACTCAGACATGTCTTAAATGAAAAAGCACAAAAAATAAAACACGGAATCATGGGATTAATTTAACATGAAGCACTGGTAACTAAAAAGAGGTACGGAGTCGTTTGTTCAATTGCAACATTTCTGGAGTTTACAATTAATTTTTTCAAAAATATTGCAAATAGAGTATTATAAACAGACAAGAAAAGGCACTAAATGAGGATCTCTCAGAAGTTGCTTGCTAAATCCACTGTCAGTCAGAAACCAATTTTTCTGAACTCCCTAAGCTGACAAAAAGATTATTGGCTTTACGGGTGGTCGCAGAAAAAATTAAGCAATATGTACAAAAATATAACCCAACGTGTATTGCATTACGAACCAGTACTCATCAATGAAATTTACAAAACAAATACTAAAAAGTCGTATTTTTCCTTCCTTTTTTGCCATTGGTTATTTTCTCTCAAACTGCATTTTCCCATAAGCTAATCAGAAAGGTAAAAGATATTGATTCCATGTCTATTTCATATAGAGAATTCTTCTCTAGAATAATTCGTAATTCCTTTATTCCAGAATAAATTGTATGAAAAGTCGTTCAACATGATATATTGGTTGTCAAAATGATATAATGGTTGAAGACAGTTCTTGAACAGATAAACAAACTAATCAGTCGATATATATTTCTTGCCATTTCCATTTCTGCCACTGATTTCCCGAATCACATTTTCCATTGATAACGTTGGACTGGACATGGATTTAGCTGCTGTCAAGCACAAGTCATCGATCATT